GCTTCAGTCGTTGGGTGGGCTAACACGAGTAGCATTACCCCGCAGGTTTTATTTAATATTTTCAATGATGAGCTGGTTTTACTCTTTTTAGAAACAAGTCTTTTTTTTTTTTGCCCAGTGTCACAGATGCTGGCTGTGTTGCTTTGTGATGCTGTGCAAAATGCAGCTGCAGTGTTGCAGGGATGCTCTGCCCACTCTCCACTGCTGCTGTTACAGTCGGCTGGGGGGGGTTCTGTGAGGGTTTCCTCACTGAGACAATTACAAGCATGAGCAGCTAAGCAGGTCGTGCTGACCAGAGAATTGAGTGCTCCCATTTCCTCCCTGTCTGGTGCTTGCCACAGATCTTTATAGCCCTGGTCAATTTGGTCACGTCAATCCCAGCCTCTGTTTTTCGTTCCTGCAGTGAAAAAAAAAGCAAATCCCTTGAAGCACCGAAGAAAAGGTTTGGCTTGTGCCACTTGCTGACTCAACTATTTTCTGCAGTTGCCAATTCAAGAGTATGAAGTTCCTCAGTGTCTGGAGTTCTCTGGACTTGTGGGTTTTAGTAGGTGAAAAATGGACTGCCTGGTAGGCTGTACAGGCACCCCCAATGGCTGGGGGTTAATTGGGGGAGCATAAGTGAAAGCCAAGGCAGACATTTTTCACTGCAATTGGATCAGGAGCATTCACCTTCATTTCAGGTATCTTCAGAATAGGTTCTGTCAGAAAATAAGCCTACAGATGTAGCTGTATCAAAAAGATAATCTGAAACTTTCTTTTGCAGTGAAGAGACATCAGACTAGTAAGTGAGTCCCTGACCCACTTATTCCATGACCTTCTCTAAAACAACCAATGAATGCTGGTCCAAATCAACCTTATGTTGTCTGTAGGGTTTGTTGTTTTTTTTTTATTCTCCCTCCTATGCTCTCTAAGCTTGCTGCAAAATACACCTCTGTTTTTGGTCTGTATTAGGCACAGGCTGAGCACTACCTTCTTTTTTGGGTGAAGTCACCATTTCTCTTTGCTTCAAGTGGTTCATTGTGACCACTTCTGCTCACTTGTGTTTCAGTAGACAATGTCATTTTGATGTACCACATCAGATAAATACAGTAATTTTATTGAGGCAGACTTTGAGGAGTACTATTGATTATTTATGGAGACATGCTATTTTAATCAAGTAGATTCATTTGAGCTGTCATGGTGAGTCAGGATAACTCTGTGCTCACGCTTCATGCTGGAGAGTAGGTTTGTATTATAGATGGATACTGGTGATTTAGAGGATGTAACAGTGTCAGTCCTTTGGCACAGAAGTTTGGCAGTGGTGGTTTAGTGTCACGTCCAACCTCACAAGCGCTTTCAAAGCACTGATGTCAAGTTATTTTCAGGGCCTGATTTAAAATAATCAATAGAAATAGTTTAGCTGGTCAGCCCTGCAGAAAATGCCTTCTCTGTATTTTGCTGAGGAGGAGGGGTTGCTGGTGGGGGGGTTCTCTGTGAAGCAGTGGCTGCCAGTGCCCCACGAGTGCTGCTCAGAAAGTAGGTTAGTCCTGGCAGCTGCTCTGCCTTGCATGGGCTCCGGGCAGACAGGCTGCTCTCCCAGCATTTCTAGGGAGTTCCAAACTTTTCCAGGGGCATGGCTTAGTCTCCAGACTCTCTGGCTTGGCCTTCAATCATAAAGCTGTTTTTCCCTTTGTGTGAGCAGCTGAGCACCCTACAATGGCACGTGTGTGTGATTAGGTAAGAGCTGAGGGTGCTCTGCATGCTGTGAGTCATTCTGGCATGTTTGGATGAGTTGAGGTTTTGGTTCATATTTAAAAGTAAAAGTTAAATCTGTGGGTAGGTAGGTAGGTAGGTAGGTATGCTGCAAAAGGTGACTCAGAAGCATCCTTTTACTTACCTGTGTTTCGATATAGGATACCTTATTAATGGCTATCCTTATGAATATCCAGGCTGTTAATAATTAGTGTCACTGAAATGTTTGGAGTTCTGTAGGTTGTCTTTATCAAGTCCTGCATTCATGGCTACAGAACTGTGGAGTTGTTTAGGTTGTAAAAGACGTTTGAAATCATCGAGTCCAGTTGTTCCCCCAGCACTGCCAAGCCCATCACTTAACCCTGTCCCCAAGATCTACATCTACATATCTGTTAAATCCCTGCAGGGATGGAGACTCCACCACTGCCCTGGGCAGCCTGTCCCAGTGCTTCACAGCCCCTTCTGAAAAGAGATTTGTCCTAATATCCAATCTAAACCACCCTGTCTCAGGAATGAGCATAAATCACTGCATTTTGGGCACACATCAGGAGCTGCTGCTGCTGGAATGCTGCCTCTCCCAGTGCCGAGTTCCACCTGCTCTGCAGCGCTGCGGGGCTTACCTCGAAAAGCAGCAAGTGCTTCCTTGTGTCCGAGGCACAGAGCCAAGGCCTGTTCCTGGGGACTGCCGAGGTAGTGCTGGCAGTTGTTGATAGAATTGACCTTTGGGTGCTGGGAGCTCACAGTGTGGAGATGGTGGGGCTGGGGCACGACCTGCACTCTGGCCTGTGCCGAGAGTAAATAGATAAAGATCGACATGACCCAGTTGTCACCGTAGCAGCAGATGCTCTGCAGCGCTGCAGCCTCTTGCTACGTGGTGGGATAACCTGAAAACCCGAAATGTGTTTTGCTGTGTGGTTTGTTTTGTTCTTTTAATCTGCATGTAAAAATAGGTTTGTGAGAAGAGAGGCTCGGTTGGCTTTTATTTTTCCACCCCCCCCCTCCAGCTTGGTTTTATCTTTTTTAGCTTACAAATGCTCACTTCAGTGAGTGCTCACAATACTTACTGCACTGCCTGCACTACTCTGTGCTGGCCAAGTGCTGCTTTTTCCTGGGAGCATCTTGTGTGCCATCACAGAGGAGCAGAGGCTTCAGTGCTCAACCTCACAAATGTTCACCTGATTCCCACGAGCTTGTTACCAAGTCAGAGCTGATGACAAATTGTATTGACAGGCTTTTAATTAACAGCTACTCAACAGGAGATGTTCCTGTTCCTCAAAAGTTGCAACACAAGAATTTTTAATTTGTTAGCAAGCCACAGTATATTTAAAAGAAAAGTCTTCCCACCTTGTTTATAATTTCTTGAGGGATGCATTTCAAATTCAATGTTTTAAAACTTCTGATCTTGCAATGAAGGCCTAAAGCTAATTGAGCTTATTCCCTAAAACATTTTGGTATTATGAGGTGCGTATGATCTCCTATTTTCCAGTCTTGTCATTTTTCCTTTTCTTTGTGGCAGCTTTGCTTTATGCAAAAATATTATTAATGAGTGTAGACTGTGTACAAGACCTCCTGTTCCTGAGAGCTTTTTAATAGATTTTACCTTCTCCTCCCTGCTAAGTCTATTTTTGCTTTTTCCTGTGGTTCCCCTTCTGTTCTCCCATCTGTTTGGTTGAAGTGCTTTATTCTCTCCTGGTGTTTTGTAGACACTAATCCTTTTACCTTCTATCCTTCACAGCTTTGTTGAGTTGCAGTGCTGCAGTTCGGTTTTGTTCCCACATGCCTTTCACTGAGATGTTCCAGGATGAGCTACGATTTTGTGAAATTGAGACTGTTAAAATTGTTCCTTCTGTCTTTCTCTCTCTCTCTTTTTTTTTTTTTTTTAAACTTTATTTTTATTACTGCTTGCACATGCCATTTATGGTGCTGTTGGCATTTGGGAAAAATACTGTAATGACTCTGGTTTTTTGCTTCTCGGAATCTCCAGATCTTTCCATTTTTCCACGGTTTCCAAAAGCTGTAAAAGTAGCTCTCCAAGTAAAACGAGATGGAAAGACCTCAGTCCTGCAAAATGCACATGCATAATGGATTTCCCTCACTGCAAGCCCCAGTGCTTTCATTTCTGTGAGATCACTGCCAGTGCTCTTGGGTCCCATTGCTTTGTAGGATGAAAGTCCCCTTGGGCCACATCGTAGATCCCACAACTCTTCAAGAGCAACCACAATACATAAAACAAGCTCAGTGATTCCCGAGACCTTTTCAAATACTAATAAGAAAATTAATTGGGGGGGGGGGAAGAGGAAATCAGAATTTTGAGGCTGTGATTTTATCAGAAGTACAGATTAAAATCTTGCTAATATGGTTCGTTTCTGGAGTGCAGAAGAGTTTTGGCAAGCAAATATGTATTAATTACATGGATGTGTAAACCCTGTCCTTCTCAAAAGGAGGAAAGAAGGGAGAGAGGTTTCTTTCTGTGAGTGCTGGGGCAAAAAGAAACAGTGGGGGGAAAAAAGTTTTTTTCTGTCAACGTGTTTGAATGTTCTATCATAAACAGAGCTCAGTTCAAAGGATCTGGGAATCTCAGTAGATTTCTTTCAAGACTAACCAATTTCCTGCAACATGCTGTCAGTGCCAGGAAGAGGCATCTCTTGCACATAAGAGCAGCTGGTTGTTTAAAAAAAAAAAAAAAAGGCATGCAGGGGGGAGAACACCCCTCCCTCATCCCTTGTATAGAGTTATTTTCCAAAGGAAAATATACATCTGTGAAAACACGGCACTTCAGCAAATTCTGTGCACTTTGGAATGTCATTTTGCAAGGAAAAGTGGTTTTTCCTAACGGTACGTGCCTCTTGTTTGGATGCTTTCAGGAAAGGGCTCGGGGCGTTTTTGTGGTTTCACTTTTGCAGTGAGTCCTGAAGTTTTATTACTTTCCCATTTTCTGTGTAGTGGTGTTGATGGTTTTTCTTACTCTTTATTCTCTTAAATAAGAACTGTGAATGTGAGTATTAACCCTGTCTTAGCAGGGGAAAACTTAATTTTATGGGAAATGGAATTTTTTTTTTAAATTTACTTGAAAGTTTTGTCATGGGGAAATACAGTTAATATTCTAACTAGGGTGAAGGCAACTTATCCATACCGTTGTTGCCAATTTGAATTTCCCTGTGTGCTTCCCTTTAAGAAATAACTTGACACTGTCAAAAGGATATTGGAATTTTCTTTGCTGTAGCTGATGATTCCACATCTGAAATATATTTGCCAACGTTCTGTTGTTTGCAGGAACCAGTGGTATATGAAGATGGAACCATGAAGAGAAAGCAGAAGGAATAATAATAATGCTTTTCCGAAACCGTTTTCTGTTCTTGCTGGCCTTGGCAGCCTTGTTGGCCTTCCTGAGCCTCAGTCTGCAATTCTGTGAGTGTCCTTCCCTTTTGTTTTCTACATGAAGTGATCAAAGGTGTGTTTAAAAATGGCCACGATTACTTGTTGCTGAAGTATTCGGTCTGTATTTAAATACTGGGGAGTTTGTTTTGGGTTTTGGTTTGGTTTTTGAGGGTTTTTGTTTGTTTGTTTTCCAAAAAGTAAGAAAAACGATTTTGTGTGCCGCAGTGGAATCTATACAGTTTTGAGACTTCAAATCAGGCTATCTTAAATCCAAAAAATCTGCATTTTGTAGTGCACTTAAGCAATTGAATCTTTCCATGAAAGTTGACAAACCCCATTTGAGTAAAAAACTGCAGCAATTCCTTTGAGTAAAATCTGCTGCGATTCTTATTTTACGTTGCATCAGACCAGACAGGATTGAGAAAACTGCTGTGAGGGTCGAGTGTTGGAACTTCTCCTTGTTTGTGCCCTCACATTAGGAAATATTAAACAGTTGAATTGGCTATCACAAGTGGTTGGTTTGTTTAAGGAAAGATAAATTATGCTGTGCTTCAGGTCAATTAATCCTGGGTCAGTGCAGAGGGCCCTGGTGTCCTGATGACTAAGCAAGAGGGTGGTGCTGAAGGCAGGTCAGGGTAGGTGACAAATGAGCATTGTGCCATATGACTGATTATCACCCACTTCTGAGAGATGACATTTGCCAGGCAAAGCCATGTGTTGTGTAAGTCTGGTCTGTACAAATACTCAGCAAAGTAATTAATTGCTGTTGGAGGGCAAAGAAAAATGCGTGTCCATAGGCTGGGCTAACATTCTTTGTTGTTGTTGCCATCTTGCCTCATGTTTTAATGAGGCTTTTTGGGCTGTGCTCCTTTAGCATGGTGTAAAAAAAAATCCCCAAACTCAAAAGATTGCTCTAGATTTAGAATGTGTCTTTTGCATATGATAGACAACTTATAAGAAAGGGGGAGAGAAGATGAAAGAAACTTTGTGGTTTTCTGCTGCTATTTTTGTGTGTTTAAACTCATCTGCATGTAAGACAGGGACCTGTGGCTTTTTCAGCTTCCTATGGGCATAAGCCAGTGGGTCTGACTGCAGCTTGTTTTGCCCATTAGGCTCTTTATGGCTTGATGTTGTAGGGTTGGTTATGAATTGTGCAGAGGGTGAAGGTCCTAGAGGAGCTGCAGCTGAAACATGAAACTGAATTGTTAACTAAAATGAGTTTTATTTAGAGATGAGGAGAGTGAATCACATTTCCTCTCAAGAGGAAATTATTTTCTCCTTAATTAGAACATGACATTTGTGAAGAGGAATTCCAGGAGATAAAGATGTTTGAGGGGTGCTTTAAAAAGCACATAAGCTACAGCAAGCAGCCGTCATGAAGCTCAGTGCCAATACCAACACTGATACAGAAGCTTTTCCATAATGACAACTGCAGTACAGTCTGGTGGGAACCAAGACTTACAGGAAGCCTGACATTTTAACTTCTACCAGCTTCAGGTTGTAGAGCAACGAGTTCAAACTTGGAACAAAGACCGTCTCCACAGCAGAGACAAAACTCTCTTCCATCACTATGTGCATCCAGGCTGGCTGTGTCTGCTGAGCAACCTCCAGCTCAGCAGCTTTAGATGAGTTATCACTGCTATCACTTGTTTCACTTGTTGCTTTCTTTGTCAGGAGTTTTGTCTGTCACATCATCACCAGTGCTATTTTCTGTCGGGAAACGCTGTTTTTCACATCCTCAGAATGTTTAACTTTGGGATTGCTGGGTCAGACTGGTCTCAGCTTTCTTCAACACCAAAAGCAGCATGACTCCCCCTTCTCCAACCATCACTGATAACTTTTGTAAATAGGATAAAGTTCGAGCTATTTTACCCCCACCCCCCACCCCCCTTAGACAGAGCATCCTGCTGCAGGCCCCTCACAACAAGACAGACATCGAGGTGCTCAAGACAGTCCAGGGAAGGGCAATGGAGCTGGGGAAGGGTCTGGAGCTCAGGTCTGATGAGCAGCTGAGGGAGACGGAGGTGTTGAGCCTGGAGAAAAGGACTCTCTCTGCAACTACCCAAAAGCAGGTTGTGTGGGGTGGCAATCCATCTCTTCTCCTGGGTAACAAACAACAGGACAAGAGGAAACAGCCTCAAGTTGTGCCAGGGGAGGTTTAGGTTGGATATTAAGAAAAATGTTTTCATGGAATGTGTTGTCATGCGCTGGAACAGCCTGCCCAGGGCAGGGGTGCAGTCACCATCCCTGGAGGGGATTTAAGAGACGTGGAGATGTGGCAGCTGGGGACATGGTTTAGTGGGGAGCACAGTGGTGCTGAGTTAACAGTTGGAGCTGATGATCTTAGAGGTCTTTCCCAACCTGAATGATTCTGTGATATGATTTATGTTCATGGAATGAAAACGGGTGCTTGTACATTTAGACTCAGGAAATTGCCCAAGCCACTGATTTGTTTTGTTTTGTTTGAAGGGAGTTACCTCCTGAAGCATTTGGAGTGGAAATGGATGTTTTATGCTGTTGTGGGATTGTGTTTCTCTGTTAGCAAGCAGTGCAAAGCTTTGTGGAGGAGGGTTGGTAATTTTAAAACACGCTACTGCTTTTCTAAGCATGGAATGTTGAAAATGTCTCTCCCTTTCTGTGATAAATTTGTTTATAAAAGTGAAACAGTAACACTAAATGAATAATTATAGAAATGGTGCCTCTCTTCCTTTTTCAAACTTCTGCTTTAGGACAGGGTGTAACTCCTGTAAATGCTTGATATTTTATTCCTCTTGTCCACACGTGGAACTGTGGCAATTGGAAGCCAGACTTGTGAGTTGTAGCTGACTCAAAGTTGAAGCAAATGGAGTAGTAAAGGCCAAATTCAGCTGATTTTTTCCATAGGTTCTGACTCAATATTACAGACAGCCCACACTGGGATGGCTGACAAGGTCACAGTCTGGCCTATGCTTGAGCTGTGAGGGTTCAGGAATTGCTTGCAGCAGTTTGCCACCAAGTCAAGCAGAAAAAGATGCTGCTTTACTTTAACAGACTGTGCTGTGAAAGGTCTGGAAGTGCTTTATGAGCAGTGATTTCTGCAGCCACGATGAAGGGGAGGTGATGGGTGTCCTGTTAGCAGTCCTAATGTAACTCTGTCCTTCCTTGTAAGACAAACTCCTGAGACAATTCTTTCCGAGCTTATAGTTGTCACATCTCGAGTTTAGGCAAAAGGAGAAAAACACTGGGGAAAACAACCAGTATCAGACCTCGGAATCTTCAGTATTGGTAGGCTGGGAATGGACTCAGAATCGACAGAAAACTGTGTCCCCTGTTCTGATGTTTGTTTGTTCTTGGTCCCTTTCTCTTCTGTTGTGGTTTCTGAGTTCTGGTCTAAACTAGTCTGATTTCCTGTGGTTTTTTTTCACCTCAAGGCTGGTGCTTTGCTTGGATGCTAACAGTTTAACTTACAGGGTCAGTCACTGAGAAAGTTTCCCCTGAATTCTCTCTTGAGAGCAAACAACAGCTCTGAGTGCTAGAAGTGTTCTCTCCCACCAACAGTTGCAGTGGATGGAGGTGGAGTGATGGCAAGGACCCAGATCAGGAGCTGCCTTGTGTCTGCAGAGCCGTGTGCCAGAGGTGCTGTGTGGAACTGTGGGTTCATGTTTGGCACACATTGCATTGTGTGCTGGCTTGGTTTGGTGGATCCAATGCCAGCTGAATCTCCATCTCCTCATTCTGAGAAGAGGGAGATGTATAAGCAGACTGTGCTTGGCTGCACAGTTGGAGAAATGACTCTTTTTAAACTGTAATGGTCATTTTTCTGAGTGATGTAGTTGCTCTGGATCCCATGAGATACCTTCCTTCCTGCTGCCAGAGTCATCTGTCATGTACATTTTGGGCAATGGGGCATTTGATCAGTTCTGCTCTTTATGTCCTTGTTCAGGAGCAAAAGGCCCAGGTCCTGTGCTTAGTCTTTCCCTGTGCTGCTCCAGCTGCCCCAGGTGCCAGGTTTGCCTGCCCCAGGTGCCAGCTGCCTCCCTGGGAATTGCACTTGGAACAATAGGGTGAGAGAACTTTCCTGAAGAAATCCTACTGTTTTCAAGCTCTCTATATTTATTTAGATAAATAATGCCTCAGGCTTTGTTTCTGAACCTACCTGGTGGATGATGGAAGAAATACATTTGAGAGGCATTTGAAAATTGACTGGAATACTCTAATACTTATTCACAGTTTTGCCAGGTTTGGTTACCATTTCTAGTAGGCACCTAGAGGACTTCTAAAAATAAGTTATACTTGCTGAAAACATATAAACTTTAAAAGTTCCCTCCATCTTTAATATAATTGTATGACCTGGACTTGGAAGACAAAGACTGTGGTTAGATGTGCCCTCAGATTCAGTCTGGCCATCAACACTTTGTACAGTGTGAAACCTGGACCTGATCAGCAATAGGGAAACTCTCTTGAATGGCAAATGCCTCTGAGTTTTTTACATGTTTGAATTTTTAAATAGTATAGGAAAATGACAGTGTTAAAAGTTAAAACTTGTAAAAAAAAATTGTAAAAAAACCATTTTGTAAAAATGTTCCACTGCTGGCCAGAAACATACTCTGATGTCTCTGATGGATAATTGTATCAATGAGAGTTTTTGTTTGGGAAACCCATTGGATAGGGAGGCTGGTTGTCTTCCAAACCAAATATGCCTGGCAGTTCAAAGTTTTATAGGAAATGGTCACTGTTCCCCTATTGTTTTATGTTTGGGGCTAGATCTATGGAAAAGAGTGGAGAAGTATTTTCCTTATAGTATTTATGTTTCCACACGTGCTTTTAATCTCTCCCCTCTTTGTTTATGTAAATGGTCATGGTTCTAAAATGATTTAAAACTTCAGCATTAAAAACAAAAGGAGAGCTGATTTTTATAGACTTGTCAGTTAAACTCTTCTAAAATGGAATTACGTTGTTTTTATCTAAAGTTTTCAGTGTTTTGCTTTGTCTTTGGAAAAACGGCAGAATGGATAAATGACCTGTGCTAGATTGTGACCTGTAATTTTTTT